TGTGTGTGTGTGTGTGTGTGTGTGTGTGTGTGTGTGTGTGTGAGTGTGTGTGTGAACAGGTGGAGCAATGTGAAGTATTTCCTCACTTACAGCTGTCTGTGACACAGATAGTGGCAGGTGGCCCTTTATAGCTGCTTCTTCAGTGACATCCCAAAAGCCAAAGGTAATATAAGAATGGCTGCAATGTCACAGTAATAAAGTAACTAATTAATTAATTTAATCTCAGTCTGTCCTGAATGATGCTGATTTATTTAATGTTTTTGATTTATCTCAGAAACAACACATCTTGTACTGTTATTTTTTTCCTTTGTTTTAAATAAAGCCATTTCAAAGCAATCAAGTCTTTACAACCAACATATATGGTATTTGGTAATAGGTTACAGGAAACTAATTGAAACAGACAAATAAATACAAGCATTATTTAAAGAAATACATATTGCGCTCTGCCCACATTTTAAACAAAGATCTAAGATCACATTTAGGTAAATAAGTAGGTGGAAAAATGTGTTAAAGTCAAACTCTGTTTCCTTTAAATGGTGTCATCTCCCCATTGTCTTTATCACTTTCTTTTATAGCTCCTCCTTCTCACATGAATAGGTGTTTGGCTGTTGATTATCTTTCTGCCTGATATTCTGATCTAATTACCGGAGTAARTTCCCCACCTCTTCGTCTCTTACTGACTTCCTCTTCCACCACAGCCTGGGGAGAACGGACATGTTCCTCTGAGCTAAAGTTCAAGCTCAGGCCACAGACTCAACGTGCAAAATGTTGCATCTGGTTGCAATGTTTTGACAGTCTGACTGGGTCAAAACGCTTTCATGGAGTTTTGTCTGTCTTCTCTATGTTTGATTATGTTACAGTAATACTTTTGGAAATGTGGTGGGTGTCCCAAGATCAKTGATATAGGGGAGGGTGGCTGAGAAATTATTGTATTTTTTTAAGGGATTGTAAAATGAGCATGCATTTTGACATTCAGATGATGTTTTCACTTTTTTTGCTGAACCATGYGCACACAAAAAAGATACAATTAAAAGAAGATAAGTAGGTCAGAAAACCTAGTGCCACAAAGGTAACCTGGTAACAGACCACATACGTCAGAATTTAAAGGCTGATATATGCCAGGTGTGCAGATGGAAAAAAATAAAGGCCAAAGTGTCA